GGAGAGGTAGGAGGGGAGGGGGGAGGGAGGGGCTGAATTGGGGGGGGCAGAGAGGAGAGACGCAGCAAAAAGAGGAATAACAAAAGAAAAATATTAAAAACAAAGACACAAAAAAACCAACAACTAGATCACACAAAAAATCCAGACGAAAACCCTGAAATAAAAGCCCGAAAATTGTCTTCCAAGGGGGGTGGGAGGGAGAAGAAGGGAGGCGGGTCAGGGCATCCGGTTCTCTCTGAGATGGGGTGAGCACTTATGGAAATCCCCTGCGCCCGAGTCTTCCCTCTTGGGCCTCAGTTTATCCCTCACCAGACAATTGCAGGGACTGGGGAAGATTAGGGAGGCAGGATTATAATACGGGGGTTCATCCTTACCTCCCTTCACCTCCCTCCCCTTGACTCCCCACCAAGATTTTGCAGAGAGAAATGGCTTTTGTACCAGGTCATTCTTTATAATTAAACTCACAGTATCCACCCCCTCGAGCCGACCCCGCCTCCTTCCAGCGTAGGCCACGCCCCCTTTGCCTGGGCTCTGGAGGGGCGGTGCGCAAGCCCAGCCAGAGCCCGGCCCCTCGCGTCACTCCTCCTCGGTCGGCTCCGCCCCCAGGGCCTCGAGCATGCGCTGTCGGGCCAGGGATCGGCGCAGATGCAGGCGGTAGTCGCTCAACAACAGCTCGTCGTGGCGCACTAGCTGGTGCGCCAGCCCGCGGGGACTAAGGCCGGAGCGCAGCAGGCGCGAGCGAGTCTGGAAGTCTGTGACCGTGATAAGCCACCTGCGGGGAAGGGGCGAGGGCGAGAGGAAAGGGGCGGAGCGGAGACAAAGATGAACTCGCTCCTGGTCCCTCCCTGCCTGAGCCCAGTTGCCTGACTGTCTACCTGTGACCCTCTCCTAGACTTTCTCTGCAACCCTGTCTTCTCCCCCAGGTCACCTAGCATCCATCCAACGTAGATCTCAGGCCTCGCTCATCCCTGCCCCCGACCACCAGCTCAGTGCAGGCCCCGCCCCCTCGGAGCTGTCACTCCAGGCTCCTACCATCCCTGGTCTCTGCTATGCACCTCAGCCTTCTACTACAGATCTCACGACCCCTCCCGCTTTCCTCTTGCACTCCAGGCCCCGCCCCATCGCGTGCTCTCCCTCCCTAGCCCCACCCACCCTTCCACATTTACATGCACACACCCTGCCACACCCACACCCAGTTTCTCCTAGCCTCGCCCCTTCACGGCCCTGCTCATCTCACTTTGCTCGGTCCGGCTCCCCAATCGTTACATTCAAGCCCACTCCTTATTGCCCCCGCTCCCTACCCTGAGCTCACTATCTCCCTGCCCCTCGCAGGAATTTTCAGCTCCAACCCTTCGCCTGAGTTCACTCCAGGCTCCTCCCCTTCGCAAACCTGATAGCCGGCCCCGCCTCCTACGGAACTCACTGTTGCCGCGCCCCGTTTAGGAGTTAGCTCCGACTCCTCATCGCCTTGGCCGCTTACCCTCACAGAGCTCCTTCCAGGCTCCGCCCCCTTCCACCCTGACAGCTGGCCCAGCCCCCTTCGAAGCTCAATGCCGCACCGCCCCTCTTAGTTCTCAGCTCCGCCCTCTTGACAGCCAGCCCCGCCCTCTCGCTAAGTTTACACCTAGTCCCAACCCCCTATGGATTTCAAAAGTTCCCCGATCCGTCCCCTCACAGTCTAATCCTGACCTCGCTCTTTCCCCAAGTTCATTGCCTGCCCCGCCTTTAAACTCAGCTCAAGGGAGGACGGGTCGGGTCAGGGCAGGAGTGTGCGGAGAAAGAAACGGAGGCGACCCTCCTCCCGGTAGCTCTAAGCCCCGCCCTCACCGCGCTTACTGCGGGCCCCGCCCCCTCACTGAGCTTACGAGTTCCTCCTCACTGCCTCCCATCCCTTTAGCCCCGCCCCCGATGACCTCACTTCAGGCCCCACCCCTTTAGCATCCGGCCCCGCCCCAGCACGGACTCACCGATCGCGGCGCCCTGCTGTGCCGCAGATGACATTCATATTCTCAAAGCGGATGCTGCTCACGCGCCCGCTCTCCATGGCCCCGGGCAGCTCGGCCTCCAGCGCCTGCAGCACCTCCAGGTGGGTGAAGTCGGCCTCGGGCTGGGAGCCGAGAGAGTCCTCTGGAGCTCGTACCAGCCGGGTCCCCTCCACGGACCCGGCCAGCAGAACTTGCCAGCGTCCCCGGTGCACCCAAGGACGGAACCTTACGTGACCCTCGCTCTGCGGAGAGTGCGAGGGGGGATCTCTCCGGGAGAAAGCATTGTCGACATTCCGGGTCATTCACCAAAGAAATCGAGTCTCACGGGGCCCATGGGACAAACTTCCCCAATCGACCGGTAACTTTTCCAGCCGTCGTCTTGCAGGGCAAGCTTCTACAAAGTTGGCCGTTCTCTGCTGTGTCCCCCACCGCCCACCCCCACCCCACCTTTTCTTTCCCTTCCCTCTCGAAGGAGTGTCGGGAATGTTCAGTTCGTCAAACGCTAGGGGTCGTGCGAGATTTGACTTCTGTCAATCAACTTGAATCATTCAGGGGGAAATAAAATTGTCTTCAGTCACAGTTTAACACAAGATCAGGATGTGGTAAAACAGACTCAAAACTCACTGCCTTGGGAGTCGATGCTGAGTTCTAACCATCCAATAGGACGGGGTACAACTGTCCCTGTGGGTCTCTTAGGCTGTATCTCTTTACTGAACTAGAACGCTCCGTTCTCCAGCAAAGCGGCAGCTGGTGGTTTTGAACTGCTGTCCTTGAGGTTAGCAGCCCAATGCAAAGCCACTACACCACCAGGGCTCTGCGGCCCGTATAATTAGAGTATATGCCTATATACTCTGAGGCCCATATATACTCCTATATAGTCTGCGGCCCATATAATTAGAGTATATGCCTATATACGTTCAGCAGGTGGCGCTGTCGGGCAAGTAGGGGTCTGCTGGGGGTGGGGGTTCAAACTCACCAGCCGCTCCCAGGGAAAATGATGAGGTTGTGGGCTCTTGTAAAGATTGACAGCCTGGGAAACCCTCTGGGAGGCCTGTTGGATTATGAGTCCCCCTCTCTCTGTCCCTCAGTCCTGCTTCTCTGTTCCTTGGTCCTCCATTTCAGCTCTCATGTCCCAGCCCTGTTCCTGAGTCCCACCCTTCTGTCCCTCACAGCCCCGCCCCTCAGTTTCCCCATTCCTCAATCCTCACTTCCTCCTTTCCCCAGTCTCCCGCTCTCTCAGTCAGTCAACCTCTCTTGGATTTGCAGGGATAAACAGGACAACTGACCCTTGACGGACTGACCATTTCTAGCCAGCTGTCTCATTGCCAGGCCCACACCTGGGAAGACACAGAGCCCGGTCTTCAACCCCCGTCCATTGACCCCGCTCTGCCCAGGTGCCCTTTACCTCATCCCACTAACTGCAGGCGCATGGCCCTGGGGTGGGGTGGGGGTGCCTCACCGTGGTCTCCATGCACAGGCTCAGGGGCTGGGCAGCAGGCGGCATGGGGAACTTCCGGATACACGGGAGCTCGCGGTCCAGGGCCTCATACTCGGCAATGACCTGTCGCAGGTGCTGCTTCCTGGCGGGAGACCAAACGGACAGGGGCCTTCAAAGTCAGGGGTCGCTGTGGTCAGCATTAAGGGGAGTGGAGGCGGGGAACCAAGGGTAGGACGGGGGGGGGGGGGGGGGGGGGGGGAGAGGTAGGAGGGGAGGGGGGAGGGAGGGGCTGAATTGGGGGGGGCAGAGAGGAGAGACGCAGCAAAAAGAGGAATAACAAAAGAAAAATATTAAAAACAAAGACACAAAAAAACCAACAACTAGATCACACAAAAAATCCAGACGAAAACCCTGAAATAAAAGCCCGAAAATTGTCTTCCAAGGGGGGTGGGAGGGAGAAGAAGGGAGGCGGGTCAGGGCATCCGGTTCTCTCTGAGATGGGGTGAGCACTTATGGAAATCCCCTGCGCCCGAGTCTTCCCTCTTGGGCCTCAGTTTATCCCTCACCAGACAATTGCAGGGACTGGGGAAGATTAGGGAGGCAGGATTATAATACGGGGGTTCATCCTTACCTCCCTTCACCTCCCTCCCCTTGACTCCCCACCAAGATTTTGCAGAGAGAAATGGCTTTTGTACCAGGTCATTCTTTATAATTAAACTCACAGTATCCACCCCCTCGAGCCGACCCCGCCTCCTTCCAGCGTAGGCCACGCCCCCTTTGCCTGGGCTCTGGAGGGGCGGTGCGCAAGCCCAGCCAGAGCCCGGCCCCTCGCGTCACTCCTCCTCGGTCGGCTCCGCCCCCAGGGCCTCGAGCATGCGCTGTCGGGCCAGGGATCGGCGCAGATGCAGGCGGTAGTCGCTCAACAACAGCTCGTCGTGGCGCACTAGCTGGTGCGCCAGCCCGCGGGGACTAAGGCCGGAGCGCAGCAGGCGCGAGCGAGTCTGGAAGTCTGTGACCGTGATAAGCCACCTGCGGGGAAGGGGCGAGGGCGAGAGGAAAGGGGCGGAGCGGAGACAAAGATGAACTCGCTCCTGGTCCCTCCCTGCCTGAGCCCAGTTGCCTGACTGTCTACCTGTGACCCTCTCCTAGACTTTCTCTGCAACCCTGTCTTCTCCCCCAGGTCACCTAGCATCCATCCAACGTAGATCTCAGGCCTCGCTCATCCCTGCCCCCGACCACCAGCTCAGTGCAGGCCCCGCCCCCTCGGAGCTGTCACTCCAGGCTCCTACCATCCCTGGTCTCTGCTATGCACCTCAGCCTTCTACTACAGATCTCACGACCCCTCCCGCTTTCCTCTTGCACTCCAGGCCCCGCCCCATCGCGTGCTCTCCCTCCCTAGCCCCACCCACCCTTCCACATTTACATGCACACACCCTGCCACACCCACACCCAGTTTCTCCTAGCCTCGCCCCTTCACGGCCCTGCTCATCTCACTTTGCTCGGTCCGGCTCCCCAATCGTTACATTCAAGCCCACTCCTTATTGCCCCCGCTCCCTACCCTGAGCTCACTATCTCCCTGCCCCTCGCAGGAATTTTCAGCTCCAACCCTTCGCCTGAGTTCACTCCAGGCTCCTCCCCTTCGCAAACCTGATAGCCGGCCCCGCCTCCTACGGAACTCACTGTTGCCGCGCCCCGTTTAGGAGTTAGCTCCGACTCCTCATC